GGCTACCGTAATACACTTCAGGTTCTTTTGTCCGTTACAAAAACAAAGGTAAAGAGTTAAAGAAGATTAATATATTATATATATATTATATTAGTATATATATATATATAACCTGCGAAGTCAGGCGTGGCGGAAGGCCACCGTACACTTCGGTGTCAGTTACAAAACAAAGGAAAAAGAAATAAAGGAAAAAAAAAAAATATATATATATATATATATATAGCCTGCGAAGTCAGGCGTGGCGGAAGGCCACCGTACACTTCGGTGTCGTAGCGGAAGGCTACCGTACACTTCGGTGGTCGTGGACGTTGGGCCACCGTTACAAAACGAAACCGCTCGCTCCTCGGCGTAGTCAAGCCCTGCTGGCCAGGCATGCGACCCGCAGGTCGTTTTCAGATAAGACCGGCACTGATTTCGGCAGTCAGAGTCTCAGCATGACCAGTAAGCTCCGGCAGTGATTCCGGCACAGTGTCGCTCATATACGTGTTAATCTATTATCTCTCCTCCCCAGATCACCAGTCACCCCACAAGGTAAGCAACTCAGTTCATCTCAGTATTCATACTTCACTGGTTTTGGGGATTTCATCGGAGCGGTGCTTTCCCTCCTGAATGATTATCCTGCAAACCGGGGGCCTAATCGCCAAACACCATTACATTCTCCTGTTGTACTATCATGGCAATCATTTCATTCATATGACGTGTAAACGATAAATATGTAATTCTTACATCACGTCTCTCCGGTTTGAAATGAAAGCTTTAGCGCAAGTTCAATAAGGAAGACCTAACTCGAGTCACTCACACGTCACTCTATGGCTCCCTTTCCCCCCTCATTAAATATGAGGGCGTCACGCCTCAGCAGCCTGATTTAGCTGCACATGCTAAATGCCTTAAATACCTGCTCTTCCTCCCTGTCAGTTGTCATTGCAGATGATCACACGCAACCCGCCTCCACCCCTCTCGCCTCCCGTCTCCTTCAGGACAAAGCTAAACCTTCCTCCTTCAGACTGGTCTCACCTACTCATCACCACCACCAGTGTCTAGACCCCGGGGATTTAATCGGAGCGGTGCTTTCCCTCCTGAATGATTATCCTGCAAACCGGGGGCCTAATCGCCAAACACCATTACATTCTCCTGTTGTACTATCATGGCAATCATTTCATTCATATGACGTGTAAACAATAAATATGTAATTCTTACATCACGTCTCTCCGGTTTGAACGTCTGTGGTTGAAAATAGGCATGTGCCTTTTGACCTCCCCACCTGTGTTTTTCCTACTATGCAGCATGTAAACATTTCTGCTGTGAAACATCCAACAAAAACATTGATTTGAATTGTATTAAACACACAGTTGTGGGGTGTTGGGAAGCTCTTTCCAAAGCCAGTATGGAGGAATGATGAAACTAAACTGTTTCAGTGTAGATCTGACACTACTCTTTCCTCAGAATCAGATTGGTAAAAGGATTAAAGCAACTGGCTGAACAGGATTCCAAATATATTGCACAATGGTTCCAAGAATGGCAGTCGTAACACCCCATGTGGTATGTTCTACTATAAGATCACATGTCACTTGTTAGACGCTTTTATCCAAAGCAACTTACATACTCAATACTGTGGGCAATCCACACAGAAGCAATTTGGGGTGAAGTGTCTCGCCCAGGGACACAACGACTATATCACAGTTCTTAACACTGTTAAAAATAAGAATCATAAAAACACCAGAGGATAAATTACATGACAGCCCGCCTGGCACGTAACATTAATAAAAACAAGTACATGGAACATGGACCATTGTTTTTAAGATGTACTTGAAAAAGATGAACAACCAAATTGTAGAGAAACTTTAAATCATAAGTGATCTCATGCCCAATCCCATAAGCTCCAGGTTTAGCAAGCCAATCACAGCATGCCTGTTAATGTGTCCTACATTAAACCTGTGTTTCAAGTTATTATTCTGTCTTATTTCTTACTCAGTATCTTAATGCTGTGGTTTTAACAGACTGATTACAGAACCTAATCGTTTGCAGATCACTGAACCCTAAATGTCTGCTTGCAGATAAATTAGTGACACATTTACGTTTAATTTGAATTAATAATGTGTAGGCATTTATGAAGCTACAAACCATCGTCTCCCCACGTTTATTTTATCATCATCCATTTATCTAAAAAACGTAAACAATAGTTGGTTTTGCTATTATTTTCTGAAGAATGGCCTTCTTTGTATCTAGCCATTTAACTTGTGCTGTTTGCTACAACTGTTTAGTTCCCTGAAAGGTATGTAATTGACCACCTGCCAATATTTCCTTATTTACAATTCAAATTAACTTGAATGACACAAAACAATCTGAAATCTACTAAATCCTGTGGAAATGGCCCAGACTAATGGTTACTAAAGAAGTTTACTGCAAGCTGTCTGTACCCTAAATGTCAGACGGACCAGATGACATTAAACAGCTCCTTTTGACAGTAAGGTTTTTCTGCATTAAGTTGTTTACATTCAAAGCATTGGGCAAAGACTGTATTTACAAATGAAATGTTTTCTTATTGTTTCTACAGCTGCAAGACATCAGGAGCTGTAGGGTGCAGTATCCATTCGTGATAATGCAACATCTCAGAACATGTTTCACTGCCCTTCATGCATGATGTTAGCTCTTCCTTTCTTTAAGAGAAAGAAGAATAATCTGATATAATTTATATCAATAGCTTCCATCCTAATTGAGATATCCACAACAACCAACTGAACAAAAATGTGTACAGTGCCTATAGAAAATAATCAAACCCCTTTCAAATAGTGACTATCATAGAGCCTGAAATATAAATCCATTAAAAAAAATACTTTTTCCAGCTTTATTTACAAATGTAGCTTTACAACATCAAACTAATGAAAAAAGGTGACGGATATTAATACAAAATGAAAAACTAGAATAACAGGGTTGGAAAAGTGTTTAGGAATAGAAATTCAAGAAACAGCTGGTTTTATTTATTATTTTAAGTAATACAAATCACTTCAATTGATGTCAGGTGTTGGGCAATTAGCCTGATGTTGGATCTGGAAGTTGCACCTGAGCATATTCCTAAACTCTAAGGGACTGATGACTTAACAAAACCAGGTATTTAACTAATCAATGTTTAATAATCGTCCAGAATCTGGTCATTTTCGCTTTGATGATGAGGGTTATAATGTGTACATACAGCTCAAAAAAATGAATTTGTGGAACATTCAACTGTTTTCCTTGTCACATTAAAGTTTTTAATGAAATCATAGTCATTGTTGATAATGGTCTGTATTGTGTCTCTGTTTCCTCATCTTTCACACGTACGCAACATGAACTGCCCAGCAAGATTATTGTCACTCAAGAGGGTAATCTGAAACTGAAACACTCATGAATTTGTACTCTGTTGTCATTATAAAAAGTATTTATTGGGTCTTTTCATCTGTGACTCTCAGGATGTGTAAGGCATGAGTATTCAGTGTTCCTTTTAAAACCTTTTCTTTTTTTCTTTACATCAATGAACTGAATCAATTGAAGAAAACAAGCAGGTCTCCATGTAAATGAAGGTGTCTTTGGTGTATGAGGCCCGGACACATTTATGCACCTGTACATGAACAAATCCCTAAAAAGCTGCCTGCATTATACATAAAATGCTCTTTAAACAAAACTCTTAATGCTATTCCTGCCATTATAAGACAAAAGCATCATGTAGGCCCATATGCTACAGTAGCTAAAGGGATTTATTAATATTGATAAACTACTTAAATCCATTTTGTTGTGATACCCTCTGACTTGAACCTGGATATCTGTAAACAAAAAGATCCCATCCTAACCTATATGATATTATAAATCAAGTGATCAGTTAGCTTTTTCACAGTCAGTGTCTCTGCCTCGTTGTTACAGGCATCTAGATTCTGCCTCAATTTGTCCATAATCACTGCTAGAGCTCTGCGTTTGGTGAAGGTAGAATCCTCTGGTCTGAAACCAGGAGTTCTGCTTAATACTTTTACCCTCCACATCACTGTAGCTCTAAACGGTGGGTTTGCAGCCCATGAACACATTTAAAAAGCTCAGTTTTAATCAGCTCGTTTCTCAAAGCCTGTTTGTTGGCAGTGAACCAATTTTCATCTGCATGCAGCGTCTTGTTTGTAACATTCCAAGTTTCACTATGACCGAGTCTTGTTTCAATGAGTTGATATTTAATAGAGGTTACATTAAGTGCTGCCTTCCGATACATTCGGTAATACTAACACCAAGTACCTATCCCAATCATATAGCCTTGGCTGTATGGCACTAAAAGCTTTATTTACAAGAGATAAGATATCTTTCAGTCGGCTACTCTCCTGGCTGGCAGAGCGACCTTTGGCTTTTTCCACTGAGGGTTGTGTCTATTTTCACTTTCTAAACCATATTGAAATATAGTTACTTAGTAGGGGAGCATCATTAGATTACTAAGGCTTATCAGTTCTGCGATTGCGAGAGTCGATATAGGCTAAGTTGTCATTATTCTTTTTTTACACACTTGAAAAGATAGGCACTTGCAAACGACAATGTATGACAACATGAGATGCAAGCCACTATGGCAACACTAATAAATGTAAATCGTGTCTCAATATTTTTTTTAATGTGGATAAAAAACGTATACTGTGCGCATGCTCATTTTCCGTAACCACTACGTTGGCATGTATAATGTTCTACAGCCTGTTCCAAAAATATAAAAGGATTTAGGCATCTCTATTCATAGTAAAATAAACACCGAAGTTTAGGTGCAGTTCTTGGAAAAGGATTCAGACATGTTGGTTCAAAAATGAGTAGGCCTATGTTGTTCTCGGTGTAGTCGTTTTCGTGTATTTCAGTCTGTGGGTCTCATGCAGACAAAAAAGGAATCCAGTAATGGGGAAACAAAAGACCAATACAAATGTAAGCCAATATTTGCAATGCAATGCAATGCAGTAGGCTGGACCAGCGCGATATGAGGCCCTATACGCTCTGCGCACGTGCTGTAGGGAGGGGCGCCCTGCTTCCTCTCGAGCGCGGCAGCAGTCGGTTCAAGAGTAAAGGAAAGCAAACTCTTTGTCTTCTGCTGCTGGTCTGGGAGAAAAAGTCACGGCAGTCCCACATCTGTTGGTGAAAAATGGATAAACGACAGGCTGTAAAAGGCATGTTGACTAACCTGTCAAAGGACGAATTTACCGAATTCTGCGAAGAGCTTGTGTACCGCGAAAAGCCGCCGTTGGTCGCACTCAACAAGGTGGAGGGGAAAAGCGTCTTAGACATCATGAAGCTCCTGCTTTCCACTTTCCATGAGAAAGCTGTCGAAGTGGCTGCAGAGGTATTGCACACGATTGGATGCAACGAAGCAAGAGCCAAGCTGTGTGAGTAGGCTACTTCATGGTTTGATGCAGAATGAGAACAGAACTTTTTGGACTGAAGAACATTGCACCCTAAATGTCAGCTTGCAGATTAATCAGCGACAAATAACAACGTTTAATCGATGAGGGTTTACTTGAAGTAGCCTTTATTCTTAGGTTTCTACACAGTTTAGGACATTTAACCGTTAATTGTAAATAAGCCATCTGTATGTCAAATATGTCTTAAATGTCTTAAATGACATGATGAATTGGAAATGGGGGACCCTGATGTAAACAAGACGAAAGTCTTTCTCTGGTCTGCATCCCCTTAACAATTGTATGTTTTGAGCTGTACTGTACTGTACCCAATATACAAGCTGTTAATACACTTTTCAATCAATCAATAAAAACCGCCTTTTCTATATTGGGCAGGGACCCGCCCGACTTCCTCGAGTCATTTCAGTGTATATCCGTATTTAGTTATAGGATACAGTGTAACTCAATAAGAAATTATTTAGGCTATCAAAAAAATAAATAATAATAACGTCCTTTTATGTAATCAAATACATCTGTGGTTAAAAAGGTAAGCTCTTTGCATGCATTCATATGCAGACCTTTGAACCTTCCCTTGTGCTTTCATAACAATTTAATATACGAGTTAAACACGCATTAATTGAACATTATTAAACTTACAATTTAGCACTAAACGAGAACTGTGGTCTTTTTGTCTCACATGATAAACATAAAAAATGCGTTAAATCAATAGTAGGCTACTCTCATGCCCAAAACCACGCTCTGAAATTAGAAAACATGACAAACCTCAGGAAACCTGTGTGTCAAGCTGTAATTCCATCATATTACTTTCTAACGTTGTTTTCTTTGTTATTTCAGTGAAAGATGCAGGTGTTAAATACTCAGAACCTGGATCCAGTAACAGTGAGTTGATTTCACACAAACAAACATCCTTTCATGTATTCAAAATGACCTTGGGTTAAAAAAATTTAGGCATATGCACTGTGTTTTTCTGACTGAGACGGCATGTCAACATTTCTGCTGTGAAAACATCTTGATATATTTAAATATGGATGTTGTGGCTTTACATCTAGCCTCAAAACTATTCAATAGAGCAGTTAAACACATAGTCCTTTAATCGTGTTAAACTTTGGATACACTTAGCACAGACTGTGTTTTTTGTCTCTTATGATAACAATTACAACGGTTTCAGTTTAGTTTTTACACTACTCTTTCTTCATCAGAGTCAAAATGATAAAAGGCTTAAGGCAAACATACAGTTCCTAGTAAATCTAGAACAATGTACAACTGCCGATGGATAAGTGGTTGAACAGGTCTCTAATCTGAATCCATCAAGTGAAATATATTAGAGGAAATGTGAGTCATGTCAGCCTCTCTGCAGTGAGTAGATCATTTCTCCACCTGCAGGAGTAGCGGTGTTTAGACAAGCTCCCATTTTAAACAGCCAATCACAGCAGGCAGTGTTAATGTGTCCTACATTAAACGTGGATGTCAAATTGTCCTCCGTCATATTTCTCGCTAACCATATCTGTCTATTTTTGCAGTGGAAGCTACGGGTGGACCGTCCTCAGAAAATGGATCAAGGGACAGTCAGTTGTTTATCTACATTAGGTTTCCTTGCTTATATCAAATAGAAAAACTAGTATAGGATTCAATTTATTTCAAAAATCAAAAAGTCTTTAGTTCACAAATCTTGAAAGCCCCACACTTTTTTGAAGATGTTCCCTCTCCACTGTCTTTTGACAGTGGAGAGGGAACATCTTCTTCAGAATTTGCAGGTTAACATTTCTCCTCAAACTGCACCCTTCACATTGACAACAATTGACTTGACACTATGTGAATTTGGATGTACAGTGACAACAAAAGTGAATAAATGGAGCATAGTCATTTAAGGCTGTGTGATATGGACATAATCACATTTCCCAATATTTCTGGTCAAATACCTCAATTGTAGGGTTTATAATTACTGCTTTCCCAAATTATGTAATGCAGTAACACATTTTGTTGACATTTTGAAAATAATAGAATACCATCAGTCTTATTGTTTAAGGTATTTTCTTAAACTGGCAACCAATGACAGTGCCTGTATGTAAAATGAATCTTACATGTCCACATCGATTGACTGTATTTTGCTGAGTTGCTGTGTGCATGAAAAAAAAAGCATACACACCAAACCTGTCCATCATTAAGCAATTTAAATGTTCCCTCAATTTGTTTCAGCTGCGGGACCCTCAGCTGGAGGGACAGCTGACGGTGGGTGAACACCTGATTTTGGTTTGTGATCCCCGTGGATCAGTCACTAATCAGATTTGAATAGCAACCCAGACTCTGACTATAAAACATACATGCTAATTTACTTCATGATGAATATTTAGAAAAGGCTTTACTTGTTCTAAATAAAGTCTAGGCTATAGACCAATGTATGAAACTGAAAAGTGCTGCATTGTTGTTAAACAAATAATTTGACACTTGGGAAATATTCTTTTTTGGTTCTTTCTTTGCCTTATATGAAAATAAAGATACAACTCTGATGTTGAGACATTTCAACCTTTTTTTCTCATTCTTGGCAAGAAAATCAACATGTGCATGTCCCATCATCAAAGCAGAAGATGCGAGAGGTTTATTTAATTGCATTTGGAGAAAACAAGTTTGTAATTGTTAGAAGACCTTATTATTTCAGATGTGCTTCGATGGCAAAATTACCAATCCACTATTCCCAAAAATAATTAACAGTTTCTCTAAAACATAGAATATCAGGTTTGTGTAGTTATCCCAAATTATTAAACGAACCTTCCACGGACCCACATGCAGTTAAACTAATGCAATACACATACATTGAAAATAAAGAAGTCACTATTATAGAAAATAAAATATAAGTTTAGAAATGTATCAAGTTGGCTTCATGGTATCATCAACACTTTACTCATTATTCCCTCCTTCCTCAGGTGAGCACTTTGTGGATAAACATAGAACCGAGCTGATCAACAGAGTGAACTGCGTTGCAGACATTTTGGACCAGCTGCTTGAGAAAAAAGTCATCACACAATCCAGTTATAGTGAAATCCTGGTAATCCCAACCACTCGGCAGAAGATGAGGGAGCTCTTCAGTGGTCCCCTGAATGCAGCAGGGCCCCGTGGCAAAGACGTCTTCTACAGAATCCTTGAGAAAGAGGAGCAATATCTCATTGAGGAGCTAAAGGGAAAGAAGTGAACGTTGCGGAGAAATCTTTTTTAGACCAAACGTACATTGTGCCTCAAGAAAAAAAACTTCTTAAATGATTCCAATGGGGAAATAGTAATGTAAACGTCTCTGTAGGGGGTTCTATCAAATATAGCTTTTGCACCTTCATGTTTAATCATAGCTCTTGCCCTTTTTTTACACTTGGACCAGTCATATTTTGTAAAATGAATATGTTTTCCTGTAAGGTTAAAACCAGATTCAGCAAACCACGTAAGTCATTCATGTGATGTAATGATGTAAGACATGATTTAGCGTTCTCACCTGACATGTAATGTTTTGATCCAGCAAATCCCAGATGGATTGAGTCAGCTTTGAACCTATTTTTTATAAATGAAAAGACGCTTGATAATGATTATCCTTAGGTTTTGCATGCAGATTTTAATTTTGATTATTGTTATAATGATTATATGTGCTAAACGATTCCATTGTTGTTTTTCCCTCATGAAAATATGTTTACTTATGGAGGCCAATGTTTTCTATTTCGAAATACGTTTTCAATAAACTCTTATAAATATTACACATGTCGAGTGAATAGTGTGTTTTAAAAGTTGAAGCAAACATAATGATGTAATGAAGTTAACAGATTTAGGAACTTCGCTTTCCTCCTAGATTTGTTTTAATGTTTACATATTATTCTTATTATTTATTAAACTGGTTGTTCAGAGGGGTACTGTGGAAGAAGGTAGTATTATTTTGCCGTTATCCACAAACATTGATTTATTAACCAACCGCAATTTGTATGAACTAATTGTTTAGCCTTACCTACTTGTATGTTTGGATGAAGGGAGGCAGGACTTTACTTGGTGATGAAAGTACAGTTTATACATTTAAAGGGGAACTGTAGCAATTTTTAGATATCCAGTCTGTTTAGGAGTCTTGTAAAGTAGCTGCAGCATGAGTAAACAAAGTTATACAAAGCCTTTTGTAGCTGGGAGTTGTCTGAGAGAATGCCTGTTGGAGGTCAATACTACACATTTGGAAATATTATGTGTTTGTATTATGTTAGATTTTCTAATTTCAGTTGTAAATTCACGTGTGGGATGTAGGTCATGAAATGGTTTTTAATGATTCATTTTTAAGTATGTTGTTCCCCTCTGAAGTGATGCTGGATTACACTCCAGTCGAACCCCTCCATCCTAACCACTGCACCCCCAGATGTTATATAAGCAAAAGTGCAGCTATGTAATGTCTGTGTGACGACTGAGTCTGGCAGAGTCAGTGACATTCTTTAAAATACTGGTAAGAATGTATCTGTTTAAAACAGCTTTTTATTTTGTTTTATAAACCATTTTATTTCCAATATGTCCTTTCCGCTCTATTGTTTTTGTCATTTGTTTTATTAATATTATGGTTGGGCTTTGTCTATGTAAAGCACATGTAACTTTGTTTTTAAAAGTGCTGTATATAAAGTGCATATTATATATGTGCTGGTTAAATTCAGTCCACAATAGCTCTTCTTTAATATAGGAGTTCACGGCTTCGGCATGAAAGACAACTCTGCCTGTTTTAAACTTCATGTTGAGTATGATACATATTGTGTGTCTGTATAATTGTTTTCTATCGTTTTAATTTTGACAGTGGAGTAGGCCTACTCACAAGGTACACAGTAATGGTTCATCATAGCACTTGTGGGAGTACTCTAACAACTAGTACTGATTCCTACAGTATCAATATCTTTAAGAATGTATGGCAGAATGTTTTTTCATCCCTCATAATTTAATATCATTGTTATTGTTAAAAGATAGGCTAGTTCAACAATGTTCAGGAAAAAGGGCGGTGGGTTGAGCAGTAAAGAGAACCACGTCACTTCAGAGAAAAGGACACACACGTTTAACTTCGGCTTCAGGAAACTGAACGAGAGGTAGAAATGTGGCGGGATTTAAACTTTTCATAAAGTTTAAAGATACTGAAAGATATTGAGAACCTGTTGGAAGCAGACTGAGGGAGAAAGAGAGAAACATCCGGTGAGTTTTATCTCTACGTGCAGCACGAACAAGTGTAACGTTCACGAGACAGATCAACTGGTGTCCCGCAGTTATTGAACATTAATGGAACTTTTTGCTTTCACTTTAACCTTTCTGCGTTTTCTTTGCGCTAATGACATGTAAAATGGACATTTTGGTTATATTATTCAGTCACTACACATTCACTTAATAACTGTCTCACTGACATATCGCTTCTGGTTTTTTAGGATTCCGTTTCCTGACGTATAGTTTTACAAAATACGTCTGAAACTGTTATGGCAGGTTTCATGTGTTAGAAAATGACAAAAAAACTACTTTTAGTATTGAGGAGTTTGTGCTGCGTGGAAATTACCTTTTCCTGGGCTGTAAAGCTTTTAACCTATAGATACATGGATTCAAAAAGAAGTTTTTAACTTATTGGAGAATTAGTAGCCTACTTGCTCGAGCCATTTTTAAATAACAAAATGGCAAACAATCTGTTGTGTTAGCTTCTCAAATGATTTCCGAAATAGTTTTATATCATTGGAAATTGAGCATCTTTAGATTTGGACTGAATTAGCTCAAAATGGTTCGTTAAGCTACCACAAACTGATGTTCCTTTCATGATGGCTCAAAGCTGTGCATGAGAAGTTCTTAAAGAGCCTTTCACTTTATTTGTAGCTTTTCTTTTTTTTTTTATCATTGGCTTTATTGTCTGTTTCTGATTCACACATGTCTTCATAGTACTTTTTTTTCTTTGGCTAAACATTTGGAGTTGTCATTAAACTGAGCCTCACAATGTGTGGTGTAGCCTAAGCTAGTTTTAATTATTCATTTCTTAGTGTGGGGACCGTTAAAGAAAGACCGCATTTTGTTTCTCTTTCGTGAATGTATAAGAGACAACAGAGGTATGTGTAAAGTCTAACAACAATACCTTTTTTTAACAGCTCCTTAATCCTCGGCAGCACCTGATCTAAACATGATGGAGGAAGGTAGGTCCACAGCAGCGACGTGCAGTCAGGGGAGGCAGAGCCTCACCTGTCATACTCCAATGTAACGGAAAAACAACTAAAGAAAAACTAAATATTAATAACAATAAAATGTCTCCACTGATCTGTGTTGTAAATGTGATTTCTGTATGATTCCAATCGCTTTTTATAGTCAAAATCAGCAAGTTGGCCGAGCTCCGCTACAACTACATTGGAGCGATGAGGAGTGAGGCAGGGACGAGCTCTGCCTCTCGTAAGCCCACAGTAACTTGCTGGAGCGCGGGCACTAATTTAGCGTGGGCACTTATTTTGTGAGCGCGCTCAAGCCAGTTACTGTGTGGTGAGGTGAGGCACAGATGAGATCTGCCTCACCTCAGAATGCGTCACCCCACAGAAACTGGCTGGAAAGCGGGCCCTAAACGCATGCCTGCACCATCTCACTGTATGTCACCAATGTAATGTTTGTAGATCCCTTTATTACATTTATCCTCGCCATCCATAGTCTCTAAATAACTTATTTCACGTATATGATATTTAGGCTAGCTGGTCTCATCATACAACGGCAATGAAAAAAGCACCAGGAGAGGCAGCCATAACCTATGCCGCACTGAAGGAGGCGCACGTGAGCCCACAGGTTCTTGTTGCTACAGTTATTCTACCCAGACGCAAACAACAAGCTAGACTTTTGAAACTAGAGGAAGATAAGGAGGACTTTTACAAAAAAGTAATAGAGATTGTTGTCCAGAAGGAAAGCATGGACTTCATCTTCAAGTCAAGACCACAATTGTAATGAACATGGGATCTTACTAAGAAAGAACAATCCAATATTTAGATTTTGGGTATCCTTTTGTTGAACAGTCTGTTTAAAATGAATCGAAGCATCAGACTAAAAAAGCTTTTGAAAATAACCGAACATTTCGATTAAGGTCAAAATATAATATTTGTAAATCTGACTCTGAAAGAGTCAGTGCCTCACCAGCCATGAACCTCACCGCACGTCACTGGTCCACAGGTATTACAGCATGTACACAGCATTTTAGTTTGAGTTAAGGTTGGCTACAACAAGCTGAGTTTAAAAGCAGAATCTGACTGGAAAACGTATTTCCTTCTGTTTTATCATGTAGGAAATTCTTCACTCGACTTACTCAATACGTCAATAGCATATTGTCCACTAATCAGTTAGTTTGGTTATTGGGTTGTTTTTACCGGACCACGGATCTTTATAACTTAATTTTCCTCACAAAGAATCATACAGAATCACCACATTAAGCGTGTTTTTACCAGAGATGTGCTCCTTAGTTTCTTAGAAGTAATTCATTCAGAGTAAAAGTACATTTTCCGGTTTTGTAATATTAGATGAATTTGAGGTTTTACCACTTTTTATTAAATATATCGTGATGCATATTATCTCCAAGCTAACCACTTTGCCTTTTCTTTCCTCAGTGCTATTTGTGGATAAACATCATATAGCACTAGTCCAGAGAGTAAAAAACATTGAACCAATTCTGGATGGACTGCTCTCATATAAAGTTATCAATAGAGAACATTATGAGGAAATCCTATCCCTCCATGGCCCTCGGGAGAAGATGAGGGCTCTCCTAAGTGGGCCTTTGAGAGTCTGTGGACCTGGAGGAAAAGAGATATTCTACAAACTGCTGAGAGAACATGAGTCACATCTCCTCGATGGCCTTTGTGATGACTCTGAGAAATATAAGAAGAATAAGAAACACATGGAGGTGAGTACATATTTAGTTTTGAAAAGGATTCTAATGAAAGTTTGGATATAATTCATATAATCACTGCTTTTGAGATGCAATTGGTGTATGCCAGGGGTACTCAAATACAAATCTTAAAGGTCCAAAATAAATGTTTCAATAAGACAAAGGTCCGTTTATTACGGTCATTCAAACTTTTAAACAATTGCAACAAGAATCTTAACACGAGGTTGCAAAAACAAAAATAATCTGTATGCAGCAGTTTTCATTGTTATTGTGTCAGTGCTTGACGCCTCAGAGTCGCAGTGTAAGAGCTGCACAGTTATGAATAAAGGCAGCTGCACCCTCTTTCATTCAGCATTCCCATTATTGCTTTATAAATGTCTTGCCCCCTTGTGCGTCCACTGAGGTTCGTCAGGCCCAACACATCTTCAACAAACTCCCCCTTTGCCTCATCATAACAACTCACAAACAGCAGCAACTGAGCATTGTCAGTGGTGTCAGTGGACTCATCCACAGCTAAGGAAATGCACTGTGCATTTTTTATTCCATCACAAAGCTGATTAATCAAATCACCAGCCAGTATTTATGTTCTTCTGGTTGCTGTGGAATCTGAGAGGGGATTTGCTTGATTTGACCTGTTATTTCCTCTTTTTGTTTGCCTTCAACATGGTCTCCATCACTTCAGTCATGCATTCTTTTATACTGCAGTTATTATCCAGTGGAAAGTCCTTACCTACTGGCCTAGTACAATCAAAGTGGTTACTTTTTTTTGGCTGGGCAGTGTAGTTTTAAACACCGTCTTATTTCACTTTCTCAGGACTTAAAACAGTTTTTTGGGGGCAGACCCCCTCAAAGAAAAAAATATATTTACACACGTAAGGTCATCATCTTAATAGTTGTGTATGCTCATCCGTGAGCAGAGCATCAAGTTGGCATGTCTATTACAGCTGAATGCGGCGATTACCATTTTGTTCAGCAAAACGCCTCACAAACGTATTAAGATCAACAGCTTCAGTGCGTTTTGATTCAATGCAGAGTACAGCCAAACTGACAGTCTCTTCTCTGTCATTGTAGACCGCAAATACCTCATTCCTTCAGTGCTTGGGTCCGAATGCTTCTCGGTTTGCGCCGTCCAGTTCAAAATGAAATCGCCGCCAATCATATGTCCACGCTCGCGCCAGGACCGGGGGAGGGGTTACATGACGTGCATCTTGTGCTGCATTCACTTGCACTCGGACATTAGAGACTTTCTCTCATAAATGTCCGATGAGCCACAACTTTTCTTTCAAAACAAAGATGCCAACTGGGGTGGCAGCTGGGGTGGCAAGGCCTATTTTTAGGGTGTCAGTTGCCACCCCGGTAGGTGAAACTAGGCTACTAGCTACAGTACAGATGGAACTAGATGAGCTGTTAGCTCTCGCTCTGAATTTTTTTTTTTTAATTCTCGCTCTGACTCAGACAGGTTGAAAGAGACACACACATTTTTCCCACCCGCAGTCCGCGAAGACCCGCCCTACTGTGCCTCTGATTCGCAGATTGTTTAGGGGGAAAAAACGCTGACTGGATGCTGAATGTGATTGGACCAAAGCGTTGACACACACAGGTGGAACATAGTGGAACAGTCAGACATGCAGAGCGCTGTTTGCAGTGGACATAGCGGATAATTTTTGACTCGTTGCGAATGCGATGTGGCGATGTCTCACATATAATACAGAGAGATAATACATATTAAAAGTATAATTTGCTCAGAGTCCGGAGACAGTGGTGGTTCGGTCCGGATCCGGACCGGAGTCCGTAGTTTGAGGATGCCTGGTGTATGCAATAGAGAGTAAAATATTAATGACTCCAAGCCAAACCTTTAAAACAACATTAGTTCAGTGCTTGAATTGGAATGAAAAAGGTGCCAGTACTCTAAAATCAGCAACTTTTTCAAGTCAATTTTATATATACAGCCCACAAACAAGAATTTGGCTACTATAATGCTGGTGGGTTTGTCTCTTTACTACTGTATATTTTAGAAAGGTTCACTGTACTTAACATTTTTTATGATAGGCAGCGGATATGGCTAAAGCTCAGTAAGGTCAATATTAACTGAAAATATAGCAATCAAAGTCTAGATCTTCTGCTGAAGACACATGAAGCAGAGACCTTTCAGGTGAGAGCCCCTCTGGTGGTGTTCAACATTAATGACAAGGAAACAAAGCTCGGGTCAGAAGCATTTTTTATAAAAAGCTTTAACAAAATTAAGTATTTCTGTACATTTTGAATGCAATCTACCTTTCCAACTCAGAAAACGAAAAACGAAAAAGTGCCAAAAGTCTTCTCACATGGCTGAGCTGCTTTGCAATATACTTCACCACTGAAGAATACAAATATGTATAAAGTAAACTATGATGCAATCTAACTTTCCAACTCAGAAAAATGATAAAGAGCATGAACAAAGAACATGTAAAAACAAATGCAAAATTTGCACAATCTAAAATGAGAAACTGTAACTGCAAGTAACAAAGTCTGAGCCATGGTAAAGAGTTACATTGAACACCAAGCTGATCAGATAACTCCCTGGTTGGTCTGAAGTCCTTCTATCTCCAGGATCTGTACAAATCGGCACATTATGCCAAAAGTCTTCTGACTGGGTGAGCTGCTTTGCAATATACTTCACATTGTTAGAAAAGGCTCCAGAAGGCCTTGGGGACATCAGTATCAGGGGCTGGAGCTGGACAGGCTCTTTCATCAGCACTTCTCCTTCCCTTTGCCAGCCAGGACCTCACATACTGTTCCGGATTGAACTGTCCTAGTGATGGTCCATTACATTTAATGAAAACCAGGCTGGACAGTCGGCTGACAGAAGAGAGCATTCCTTTTTGCAGTAAGGATATCGTTCATGCAGCTGAATGCCCGCTCACACTCACTAGTGGAGACAGCGATGGTTCGGACTGCTTTCAGTAGAGGCTCCATGGCAGCAGGTGTACGGGATGCCCTGGTTTCCTTGTATTCGCGAAAGCCCTGAACAGTCTCTCTTCTGTCCACTTTCAGCACTTCGCACAAACGTAGCACCTCTACGTCCCCATACTGTACGTCTAACTCCTCTTCAGGCCAACTTCCAGGATGGATAACTTTCATGTCCTGGATTAGCTGATTGTCCCGGGCCTCCCGGCCATGTAATGGGATTTCTCTTGTGCTGACATGAGAGGAGGTTGTGGAAGTCATTCTGTGTCTCAGATTCTCTACCATACTGCGGAAAAACTGACCTGCATGAATCTGTACAAGCCTGCCATTCTCACGCAGGGCAACACCCTTGAAGGACTTCTCAGCTAGAGCTGTATGAACTGTAGTCATGTGTGGGCCAGGCATGGTGACCATGGATTCAAAAACTCGTATTTCTCGAGTTAAGAGCCTATCTGCTGTAGGCAGTGTCATCTCTCTTTTTTGGAGTTGCCGAGAGAGGTCGCTGAGCTCTGTGAGCGCATCGTACATCAGTCCCAGATTGCTGACAAACGTTGCAGATGTGAGCACATCATCCAGGCCCTTGTACTTTGCTCTGTCTCTGGAATCCCTGCTCGTGTCGTTTGCAGCATTTGTGAAGTGATCATGAAGCACTCGGTAGTTTTCCCAGACTGCTCTGACGCTCCTTTCACTTGAAGCCACCCAGCGGATGGACAAAACACGCCCTATCACCAGGAGACGCTGTCCGACTGCTTGCGCACACTGCGCTAACTGCCTCTGATTTTTGGGGGAGGCATGGAACAAGGAATAGAGTTTGTCAAAAAAGATCTGGAAATGATTGAGCCCTGAGACCTCCTTGACCACATCCCCAACTGCCAGCTCTAGACGATGATTGGAGCAGTGCCACACAAACAGGCTTGGGAATTTACTACACAACTGGGTAGCAACGCCTGTTCTCTTCCCTAGCATGACTGAAGCCCCATCACATGCAAAAGAAACGAAACACTGACCTAAAAAGTCCTCGTTAAAATCTCTTCCAAGACACTCCATTAACGCCTTTGTGATGTCATCAGCCGTTGTTCCATCCAACTCGATCAGCTCCCAAAAAAACGTTTCGGGCTCAGCATCAGCTAATGCTGAGCGTAGACATACAACAAGCACCGTTTTACCACTAATAGTGGTAGATTCATCGACCAAAACACAGAGTTTTCTTTGGTTTTCTGTAATGTCTTTTGCCATTTTTTTCTTCAGCTCATGAGCTATGTGGTCGATGATTTCGCCACAGGTTTTATTGGAGTGCAAAACCCTGCCCACGTTCAGCCCATTCAGTTTCTGTACATTCAAATCAATTGGCATGTCTGTGAATGGCCGGCTATGTTTGCCAATTTTATATGCCGTTCGAAAAACTCTGATAGTGGTGTCTAATTCAGATTTATGCATAGACTGCACTTGATGTTGAATAGTTTCACATGAAGCAGATGTAAGGATGTCAGCAGCTTTTACATGGGCTTGTGATTCTTTATGTTCTTTGATTTTTTTTTCTCAGGCTAGCTTGTTGTTTGCCCTTGTCAACACCGAAATGAGACACTGCACACTCACCCCATTCAGTTGACAGTTTCAGTCCTTGTCCAGTGTGTATTCCCAACGATTTGACATCTCTGCATATCCGACATCCTAGCTTCTTATCTTTAAGAAGGAGCCATGCATTGGTCTTGCAAAAATATTGCACCTGGTCCGTTGTCCAGCAGTCAGGTGCATCGCTTTGCCCGGTGTTGGTGGTGGCAGTTGAGCCAGCAGCAGCTAACGTTAGAGGCTCTGGAGGAGGCGGCGGAGCTAGTGCTAATGCTAATGCACTAGAACTTGGAGCAGGAGGATCAACCAAAGAAAGCTCCCCATCAGACACAATTTCCAACACAGGCACAGCATTCTCTGTATTTGAAGTTTCTTCCGGCGACAACCGCTGTCTTTTTGCACTTTTATTAATCCACCCTAACATTTTAGAAATGCTAATTTGTGACGTGACTTGCTTTCCTTCTCTCGGGGGCGTGCCTGCTCTGTTCTATCACTCTACATAGCCACCCACTGGGTGGGAGTTGCACTGCATAAACACAACACACGTGCATCTAGGTATGTAAATTGTAAAGCATTAAAACATGGTTTTACTAACAGTTTTCAGTATGTTGTTACTTCGGCATTATTATTATTATTATTTTGAAACGTGTATTACTATTAAATCACGGTCAAATAGGTTAATTTTGACATAGTCGTTTCCACCACAGTATTTACATGGAGAAGATAAGCCCCGCCCCCTCTCCAGCATGTTCTGTTTGAATGACAGGAGTAAACAGCTGACAGCCGCTGTGAAACTCCAGCGGTTAGAGCGATGAGAATGTCCGTTCGGCACCTCATCACGCATCTACTGAGTACCGGGCGGCTGTATATATATATATGGATGTATAATAAGAACGGCGGGAGAGTGTTGAGTACTGGCACGGTGCATGAGTACCGGAGTACCGCCAGCATGCCGGTACTGAGCAAGAAGTGCCGGTACTCCATGGGTCAGAACCAGAAGTGCCGGTACTGCGTACCGGTGAGTACCGGCCCAATTCCAGCACTGCATTAGTTATCTTAACTCACCTTGATCTGGCAAATGTTTCTGAAATCGACGAGGAAATCCTTCACTGAGAAACAATATTCTGTAACCTGATATTATTTTCAAACATGATTTAAAATTATTGACAACATTTAAAATCATCCACTGACCCATTGGGCCCTGTGTGGAAGAATGGGTATTCCTTAACCCAACAACTATTTATTTATATTTGGGACAAACATCCACTTGAGTACAAAAATAAACAGATTTTGAATTTGGTGGAAAAATGCCATGGGATTAAAATGATTAATGATAAAGATATGACATTTTGGATCGCCATGGATGTAAACTGCCACTTTTTGTGAAGGCATACAACCGCAATGCAGTAAATCGAGTTTTGAATACAATCTAAAAGTTAATCTTGGTGATAGAAATAAGAAGAGACTCAGTCTCTGATCTTGGATGTGAATCACACACATAACCTAACCTACATCCTATCCTGCATACACTCTAAGATATCTCCTTTAAACTTTACAGGTAGAAAGCATGATGGCTCAGAAGATACTTCTTGAATCATTGAATGATTTGAGTTCAGATGAGCTTAACCAATTCAAGTCACTCATTGAATTAGAGGAAAGTTTCCCACGGATCCTAAGGGGTCGACTCAAAGCGGCAAACACAGATGAAACAGTGGATCTGATGGTGAAGACGTTCAGCGGAAAGTGTGTGAATATGACCAAAACGGTTTTAAAGACGATGAACAGGACTGATCTGGTGCAGAGATTGTCAGACATCAGCTCAGGAACCAAAGGTAAGAGAAACAAGACAGAAATATGTGAAAATATACATTTCTATTTCATAAGAATATCGTTTATGTATATTCAGATACCAAATGTATCCAAGGCAAGGCAAGGCAAGGCAAGGCAAGGCAAGGCAAGGCAAGGCAAGGCAAGGCAAGGCAAGGCAAGGCAAGGCAAGGCAAGGCAAGGCAAGGCAAGGCAAGGCAAGGCAAGGCAAGGCAAGGCAAGGCAAGGAAGTTTATTTATATAGCACTTTTCAACACAAGGCAATTCAAAGTGCTTTACAAAAAATGAAAGACATTAAGAAAAAGGCATTTAAAATCAGTCATTAAAAAGAAAAGCTAATAAAATAAACATTAAAAGAAAAAATACATGGATAAAAGTTTCAGTGCAGTCTAAGATATGAATAGTTCAATTAAACATTAAAAGAAAAAGTACATGGATAAAAGTTACAGTGCAGTCTAAGATATGAATAGTTCAATTAAAAGCAGCGACAAAAAGAAAAGTCTTCAGCCTGGATTTAAAAGTAGTCAGAGTTGCAGCGGACCTGCAGGTTTCTGGGAGTTTGTTCCAGATATTTGGAGCATAATAACTGAACGCTGCTTTACCATGTTTAGTTCTGACTCTGGGGACAGAAAGCTGACCAGTCCCTGAAGACCTGAGAGATCTGGATGGTTCATAATTTAGCAGGAGGTCAGAAATTTATTTTGGGCCTAAACCATTCAGTGCTTTATAAACCAGCAGCAGTATTTTGAAATATATTCTTTGACACACAGGAAGCCAGTGTAAAGACTTCAGAACAGGAGTGATGTGATCCACTTTCTTTGTGTTAGTGAGGACTCGAGCAGCGGCGTTCTGAATCAGCTGCAGCTTCCTAATAGATTTTTTAGTGAGACCTGTGAAGACACCATTGCAGTAGTCGAGTCTACTGAAGATAAAAGCATGGACAAGTTTTTCCAAATCCTGCTGTGACATTAGTCTTTTAATCCTAGATATATTCTTTAGGTGATAGTAGGCTGATTTAGTAACTGTTTTAATGTGGCTGTTGAAACTCAGGTCAGAGTCCATGACTACACCTAGATTTCTGGCTTTATCTGTTGTTTTGAACATTGCAGACTGAAGCTCAGCGCTAACTTTTATACGTTCTGACTTGGCTCCAAAAACCATTACCTCAGTTTTATCTTTGTTTAATTGGAGAAAGTTCTGACACATCCAGTCATTGATTTGTTCAATGCACTTACTCAGTGTTTGAATTGGAGCATAGTCTCCTGGTGAAATTGTTACGTACATTTGTGTGTCATCTGCATAGCTATGGTAACTTATTTTGTTGTTTTTCATTATCTGAGCCAGTGGTAGCATGTAGATGTTAAAGAGAAGAGGCCCCAAGATGGAGCCTTGAGGAACCCCACATGTCATATTTGTCAATTCAGATGTGTATTTACCTATAGAAACAAAGTTGTTTCTGTCCTTTAAGTAGGATTCAAACCAATTTAGAATTGTTTCCGAAAGTCCCACCCAGTTTTCCAGTCGGTCTAGTAATATGTTGTGGTCAACAGTGTCAAACGCAGCACTGAGATCTAATAATACTAACACTGAAGTTCTGCCACTGTCTGTGTTTAAGTGGATGTCATTAAAGACCTTTACAAGAGCAGTCTCAGTGCTGTGGTTTGGTCGAAAGCCTGACTGGAACACATCGAAACAGTTATTTAAATGCAAGAAATTACTCAACTGTTGAAAAACAACTTTTTCAATGATTTTACCTAGAAATGGCAGGTTTGATATGGGCCTGTAATTGTTCATTACTGAAGCATCTAGATTATTCTTTTTTAAGAGCGGTTTAATGACTGCAGTTTTCAAATCCTGTTGGAATAATATCAAGGCAGCAGGAGGAGGATTTCAGAAGTTGTATAATGTCCTCTAGGTTTTTATCATTAATCTGATGGAATTGTGTCATGGTGTCTGAATTGATGTTAAGTGGAGATAGGGACAACACATTTGCTGTTCCTGATGCAGAGGCACTGACTGCTTGTCTGATTTTCTGAATTTTGTCAGTGAAAAAGGAGGAAAAATCATTGCCTGGTGGATAGAAATTCAGAGGCTACTGACACTGGGGAGTTAGTTAGTCTGTCAACGGTAGCAAACAAGGCACGTGCGTTGTTTTTGTTTTTGGTAATGATGTCAGAGAAGAACGATTGTCGTGCGTTTTTCAATTCCAAATTATAAAGGCCAAGTCTCTCTTTATAGATTTCAAAGTGAACCTGGAGATTTGTTTTTCGCCACCTGCGTTCAGCTTTTCGACATTCTCTTTTTTCTGTTTTCACGCTCATGGCCTTTCTCCATGGAGATATTTTCTTGCCAGACACTTCCTTTACCTTAGTTGGAGCAATGGCATCTATAACATTTTTAATTTTTGAATTAAAATGATCTACTAGCTCATTTACTGAGATGTTAGCAGGGGCAAGTGTGGAAGAAAAATTCTGAGTAAACATTTCCCTAGTATTTTCAGTTAAATATCGCTTTGTGGTTACCTCTTTTTGAACATTTTTGTGAACAAAAATAGAGCTCTCAAAGAAAACACAGGAATGGTCAGAGAGTGCAACATCAGTCACCACAACCTTAGAGATATTCAGACCCTTTGAGATAATTAAGTCCAGAGTGTGCCCCTTATTGTGCGTGGGCTCCGTCACATGCTGAGTCAGTCCATAGTTATCAAGAACACAAAACAGTTCTTTAGCCCCTCTGTCCTGGGGGTTGTCAACATGGATGTTAAAATCACCAACAATGACTAGACGGTCAAAGTCAATACACACTATAGACAGCAGTTCAGTAAAGTCATCAAAAAAGCTTGCACAGTATTTGGGTGGTCTATAGATATTTAGGAACAGAGCTCGAGAGGAGCATTTCAGCTGAAGGGCCACATATTCAAAAGAATCAAAGTTTCCATACGATGTCTTCCTGCATTGAAGGGAATCATTGAACAGAATAGCAACTCCACCCCCTTTCTTATGCATTCTTTCCTGACTCATAAAACTAAAGTTGGGAGGGGTTGATTCGATAAGAACAGCTGCACTGTTATTTTGTTCAATCTTAAGCCATTGAACAGTGTTAGAATATCTTTAAGTGGATATATAAATAATTATACTGTCACTGTTGAGGAGGTTAGTGTGTCACATTGGGATGAAATAAATGACATTTTTCCTTTTTTTTATTATCCTCAGCGGAACCGCTTCCTTCTCTGATCCAGAGCGTGAGTAATGTCCCATCAATTTCACACAATGCAGCTTTGACTCAGTAGAATCTTCATCCTGAACTTCATTTTTTTGTCCCAGATAGATAATCTGATCATGCTAAATTAGTTACACAAACGTTCTTAGCCATTAATCTTATCTATATAGTATTTGTTCAAATACAAAAAAAAGAGAAACTGGTTAAAAATCGACTCTGTTGTAAAATCAAGAGGCTTATCGCAGTTTTTCTACCACAGCCTTTGAAAGAGTTACCCAGGAATTAAAATAAAGTAATTAATCAAACACCCAATTTATACAAAGATAAAATGGTTCTGTGATGAATTGGATGAACAATATAAAGTGTACTGATATGTTGTGCGTGTCATGACTGATGTTCTCTTACCACATCCACTCTTTTAAAACACTGAAACTGATGAGATGAAATCAAAATAATCTGTAATCATTCCAGCTGAGAAACTGCTATTTTGCCCCATTAACGTCTCCTTTGATTTTATCAGGTGGAAACGATGGCGTCTGTCATAGAGCTGCTTCTGGAAACACTGAAAGATTTGAGTGACCAGGATTTACAGAGTTTTAAGAGGGTCCTGCGTCAAATTCTCTCTGACAGAGGCTACCCAGATATCTCATCAAGTTGGCACATGATGAGAGACAGGCAGAACATGGTGTTTTATTTGGTGCAAGATCACAGCCAGCAAAGACTGCTGGAGATGACCACTGAGGCTTTTGAGAAGATGAACAGGACTGATCTGGTGCAGAGGCTGTCACAAAGCAGCTCAGGACCCAAAAGTAAGACAAATAAAACACAAACATCTTTAAATCATCAAACCTGTTTATCCTAAGTTAATAAGCTCTGTATTCTTCTTTTTAAATTATAAATATAGATGAAACGTATATTTATAATGTATTTATATCCTCGTGTACAAAGTATGTTTTATGACTAATCAGAACAATGATTAATATTTTGGGAGAGGGTAAAATGTATTGAGTTGGTTTATCTCCACCTCTTTTCTCTTCAGAGGCACAGCGACCTGCAGGGATCCAGAAAGTAAGTAATGTCACATCTGTCTGACTTTCTACAGCACACCTTTCCTTCAACAGATAAAGATATGACCAAAACACATGATTGACTTATCTATGATGATCTGTCTGTCTGTCTGTCTGTCTGTCTGTCTGTCTGTCTGTCTGTCTGTCTGTCTGTCTGTTGTCTGTCTGTCTGTCTGTCTGTCTGTCTGTCTGTCTGTCTGTCTGTCTGTCTGTCTGTCTGTGTGTCTGTCTGTCTGTCTGTCTGTCTGTCTGTCTGTCTGTCTGTCTGTCTTGTCTGTCTGTCTGTCTGTCTGTCTGTCTGTCTGTCTGTCTGTCTGTCTGTCTGTCTGTCTGTCTGTCTGTCTGTCTGTCTGTCTGTCTGTCTGTCTGTCTGTCTGTCTGTCTGTCTGTCTGTCTGTCTGTCTGTCTGTCTGTCTGTCTGTCTGTCTGTTTCTGTCTGTCTGTTTGTCTGTCTGTCTGTCTGTCTGTCTGTCTGTCTGTCTGTCTGTCTGTCAACAAACCCAACACCAACTAACCAGTTCATAGAGTTAAAGGGAACACATTAACAGTGATGAGATGCAAATAGACACATTTGTAATCGTCCAAGAGGAATATACACATGTCTAATGAATGTATTGATTATTTCAGGTAGCAACAATGGCAGCTGTTAAACATCTGCTTTTGGAAACTCTGAATGATTTGAGAAACGAGGATCTAGAGAAATTCAAGCAGACCCTGGATTTAATTGTCTCCAAGAAGAAGCCGGGATATGTTTCATGTAGATCCTCACCAGGCAGAGCTGAAACAGTGGAAAAGATAATACAGATCTTCGGCCAACAGTGTGTAGAGATAACCATGGAGGTGTTGAAGAACATTAACAGGAATGATCTGAGGCAGAGGTTGACAAAGCCCAGCTCAGAACTCAAAGGTAAGACAAAGAAGAAAAAAAACATTTTATAAATCATAATGAAAAAGTAATTGTCTAACCTTGGTGTCATCATCAATGTGAAATATAAAAAAAACTAAATTTAAAGAAATATTAAAATACCAACAGACCAGAGTCTCAACAAGAAACAGAATGTTTTAAGTTGAAGTAGTTTAGTTTAGTTTAGTTGCTGGGATCTTGTGTGTTAGACATTCACTTTATTTTCTCTCTTCAGAGATGTACTCTGTGGATGAACATCGACCTGCACAGTCCGAGGGAGTGAGTCTGACTTTACACATCACAGCTTGCATTCAATAGATGCAAGTTGTTAACCATATCCATCTTGAACGTAAAAATTATGATGTAAACCAAACCATTTTTAAGGTTGATCTCTTCCGTCAAAATGATTTTTCTTCCACTGATGTTATGATCAGATTAGCAGACTGAAGTCTGAACACTCATATACAAATGTGCATTAGTCAAGAAAACAGATAAACATATTTAATAGAACAGATGTTAGTGTGTCTTTGACTTGAGAGATCTTGTAAACATTTTATAAAATCCTCTTGTCTGAAACACTGACTGACGAAATGAATACAAAGTAATATTCATTTCCATAGAAAAATAGCACCTTTTCTTACACATCCGTTACATTTTTCAGGCACAAATTGCAGCAGAGAAACCGATCCTTTTGGAAACTCTTAAGGATTTGAGTGTTCCTGAGCACCACAGATTTCAGTGGTATCTGCCGTTCACGTCCTTCCAGAAGAGCATATCCTACCTCTTTCATGGATATCCCAATTCGACAGAAAGTGCACTCCGTCTAGTGGATCAGATGGTGGAGACCTGTGGTCCGCAGTCTGTGGAGGTGACCAGGGAGGTTTTAATGGACATGGACAGAACTGATCTAGCAGAGAGATTATCAGAGACTATCTTAAGACTCAAAGGTAAGAGAAAGAAAACAAAAACTGCTCTTTCACACAGAAGAGTTAATAGTCATGAGTTTTGTATTTGTTGCAATGCTTTTGTATTTTATTTTTTTAATTTTAAGGAATAATTAACTTAATTAATTACTCCACTGTGAGTAACAAATCAAATAATGACATTTCTATGAATTTAAGTAAATCGGGGGCGTGTTTAATAACAGCACAACTATACCAAAACAACCTCACTGTTTGAAACACTTTTGCATTAACAGTCTCATACTTTGAAATGCGTTACTCTTCTCCACACATCAGAAGTAGTGAGCTAGTGCCTGGATGAATGAGACTTTGATTATACTGCACGAGTTATGTGGGAGTTTGTAAATGAAAGTGTTATATACATGCAGTTATATAGCTTATATCGTTTTCCTGTTGTTGAACACGGCTCCCGATTATTAAAAACCTTCGATTCTTTGTGACTCGAGGAGTAAAAAAAAAACCCTTTCCTTTAAGAAGTTGTTGATAATCTGATTTTGAATCAGTGATGATGAGGCTTTTCCTTGGTTTTCTCCTTAGATAAACATCCGTCCAAACCACCGAAGGAGGTGAGTCATATCACATCAGACACACTTTACACAACACGGCTCTCATTTAGGTTTTACAGTTTGCAAATGTTGACAGTAAAGAGGTGGAAAATGTTTTCAACTAGTGGAGATATTATATTTAATTCCCTCTGATGACATTTGAATCCATTAGGAAGTAACCGTGACATCACTGGAGGAGAAGCTTCTGGAAACACTGGAAGATTTAAGTCACGGAGAGCTCGAGAAATTCAAGCGTGGCCTCCAAAGAATCTCAAGTCAGAGATTAGAGACGGCGGGGAGAGTTGAGATTGTGGATCTGATGGTGGAGATCTACGGCCAACAGTCTATGGAGGTGACAATGGAGATTTTAGAGAAGATGAAAGAAGATTATAGTCTGGAGCAAAAGTTATCAAACATCACTTTAGGATCCAAAGGTGTGAAAAGTCAAGTGTATTTTTATTGTGTTATTTCAAGCTTCCAAAAAGACATCACTCACCAGTATTTCCTGCATAACAAATTTGCTCTATTGCTACATCAGCGCTATGTAGCACATAGTGCTAAAGGGCATAGATTTAATTTTTCATAGTAACATCATTTTATACTAAGTCTTGTTTCTTCACAAGGGGCTTCAAGAAGCTTGGATCTTGAGGGTATCGGAAAAATGACGGTAATTCCTTACATTTTATTTATGTATTCAGTTATTTGTTGATCATTTATGTGATTTTCCAAATGACACATCTTCACTTATTTCTAAAAATGATTTCCTCTGCAGAAGGACTCCAGTGGCTGGACTAAACTTGAACCTGAGGTGAACAGTACAGATGAAGATGAGGCATCAACTTACAGGTACTAATAGTTTCCTAAATACTGCATATTATCAAACTGGAAATATAGTAAACACTGAAGCTTCGGTCTTGGGATTTCTTCACAGAGAGAACACTAAGATCTGCTACAAATATTTCCCCAATAGTATTAATGCTACATTTTGTACCAAATGCAAACTCTTTATGTTTTTCATGATACTTTAGCCTAAAGTCTGAAGCGGGAAACTTTGAATGCAGTGTCTCAGGCTTGCGCTGGGTCTGTCAGGACAAGGTCAGCTTTAAGTACCAGTTTTGCTCTTCGGAGGAACCCATGAAGAGGATGGAAATGATGAGATACATGCCTGCAGGTCCCCTGATAGACATCACAGTGATTTCTGGGAAGTTATTTGAAGTGTACCTGCCACACTGGATCTGCATAGGTAAGTTATCATGGAGGAAAATATCAAAATAATCATTGCAATTGTTTTTTATTCACATTAATTGTTTATGCTTCATACTATGCAGATGACATCCCTAAAATACTGCAAAAGTTTGCAGTCCTGCACATAGATGACTGTGGAGATGTTGTGGAAAAAGTGTCTGAAGTCACATCGTCCCATGTCAAGCTGTGTGAACCAGTTTTCTCTCCAAGAGCGGTCCTGATGAAATTGGGCTTTCCAGTAAAAATACACTGTAACGTGTTGATTTATTCAAAAGCCTACGCATCCTGCACCGTTCTTCATGTTTACCTGACCCCGCTCGATCCTGCTCTCAAAGAGGTTACTGAATATCTTACTGTCACACATTCAAAATGAAATCAAAACCTACAATGGAGTATTTGGGCTAAATTGTGAAAATAACATCTTTAATTCTTAAAGTAGTCCTGTTATGAGAGTAAAGTCATAAGTGAGGGAAAACATTTGAAGGAAATATTATCTGAAAAGGGTCCTATTGTGTGTTATGGAAATGGAGGATTTTAATACAATCAACTTCCAATCTTCCTTACCTGAACACAGCACCGCACACAGTGAATTCTAGTCTCTGCCTTTAACCCATCCTTAAACAAGAAGCAGTTGACTGCTATATTACAGTGCCCAGTGTGGGGCTCTGGTGCCTTGCTCAAGGTTACCTCAGCATGACCAGGAGACCAACTGCCACCTCACAAAGTATCAGTCCCCACTCTTCACTTTATCCGTTCAGGGACTTGAACCTGCAACCCTCTGGTCGCCAAGCCAAGTCCCTACAAACAGAGCTAGCTCTGTCCAAAGCTAGAAGCTATGTTTGCAACATGACTCTCAATGATCGATACATGGTTGACATATAACCTTTGTTTAGAGTCGGAGAGGTCCTGATAATTTATTCTGGTAAATTACTCTGACCTACTAATTGACCTTTCCGAAGTTATTGAGTCTATGTAAGGTTGCTGCTTGGCTCAGATCCACCAACGTCAGCAAGATCTCACCTCTTCCTAACCCCCCGAAAAACAAGGTTCAATTAACTGCTGTTTCAATTCAGACAACTCTTTTTTAATCTGTTTAAGGAATCCCGAAGGATTTTGATATCAGTAAATGGAGTGTGCTCCTACCTAAGTGTGTGTGGCAGGGTGCAATCTTACCTTTGAAGCAGGAGAGGAGGACACAGGTGTCTTTTAAATTATCCCAATCCAACTGGTGGGATTCAGTTTATTTGAAGAAAAATAGGTCCAAACTAATACAGGGTTTTTACCTTCTCTCTTTACAACATTATAATCATACTAAAAAAAAAACGTGCTGTGATCATGTTCAAATGAAACTTTAATTCACAGTCTTACATTTATTACCAAAATGTTTTAATTTCAACTGCCCATTTCAGTTGTGACATTTTAAAATTCTCCCGATAGAATTTAGAGGTATTTCCTCGTAAAAAGACCGGTGACAATAAAAAGCGCATTCAACTTTTTCATTTTACCAACTCAATTCACATCAGTTTCATACCTTTTTTCCGACACAGACGGCGGATTAACCTGTCAAAAACACATTCCTATCCGCCAAGAGTTCGAAGGAAGGTCCTTACAGGTCGCGGTATTTATAATATTCACAAACACCTCTCTCATCAAATCATTCCACTCAGCCAACAACCAAGAAATTCGAGAGATATTTACCCCGTCTGGCAGAACCTTTACCGAGAGCTAGTTACCCAGCTCTGAAGCACACAGCCTACCCGGAGAGAGTCTACCAGGGGTTTCCCCCCCCCTCTCTCTCGCGCTCTCTCAAAAAACCAGTCTCTTTATGCTAAAAAAACTGGATCGAAAACCCAAAAAACAAACTCCTCCTCTACACCCAATTTGTGGAAAACTGCGCATGCCCACTAATGTACAAGGCTAAACATGTCTCAACATGTTCCATAGTTTTATGACATGAGACACACCTCCTCATGTTAGTGTGAAAAGGACATGAACTCTCTTTGGCCTTTAATGTGTTTCTCCTTAGTGTGAAGCCCCCCCTCCCTGTGTACTGCTGTCACAGGAGAGGAAGAAAACTCAACCTAAACAAACCACTTTGTTTTGTTTATACTGTAACTATAGAAAAACCTAAAATATGAAGCATTTTCATTGTGGGTTATACAAGAATATAATTGATTATATTTGATTATAACTAACTTTCGTTTTTAAGTATTAAACATACTATGAAAACTCACAACACCCTCTTTTCAAAACGCAAAGTTATCAAAATAGCAACAGAAAAAATGGTAAGCACATACATATTCAAAAACCGTCAAGAAGCATTCTCATTATGGGTTTATACAAGAATAGGATTGATCATGTATGATTTATTAATTAACTTTCGTTTTTAAGTATTCACTTCATACCATGATCTCAATTAACTTTCGTTTTAAGTATTCACTTCATATGAAGATCTCAACACCTTATACTTATCATGGTGTTATAACGTGTTCCCTGATAATACTTATCAAGCGAGATATCATTTCGTTTTTTAGATTATCACTCGAGGGAAAGTTCTGCTCCATGGAAAGCTGCTTCAAACAGAAAAGCATTTAAGCCAATTTACCTGTTTCACATGTTGCTATAAATGTTAAATACAATCACAGACGTGCCTCAGACCTATTCGGTGGTAATTGTCGATGACGCTGCAGCATGGTTTGATCTCACTTATTTAGTTACTCTCAAAACGTTAAAGCCATTCTGAAATAACAAAATCTGAAAGAAATATTTATTTTTCTAGATACTGACCCTAATACTCTGTTGTTAAAACCTTATTGTTTCATGAATGCATTTTAAACACAGATGTTTCTTACTGTAAACTTGAAGCAGGGTTGTGCTTAGATTTAATTTATTTTTCCAGACCATCGACAAGGACAATAAAGAATACAAATTCATCCGAAAGCCACGCCCAAACAAGGACCTGAAAATGCACCAAGATTTCAACCTCAAAGCAGGCATAACGGCCGAGATTTGCCCAGAGGTACAGTTTGAATTGCCAGTAAATTGGGCCAGGTTCCTGGTATTGCTGACTACACTAGAATGGATGTGACACTAATTAAAATGGGAGTTATTAATTTATTTTATTGTAAATAATACCTGTGTCAACCTTGCAGTGAGACGTCAAAATAGCTACTGTTTGATATATCAATATCAAGGGAACTCACAAATTGTCAGAACCTCAAGATCTCCACTATACTTAAACGTCCCACTGAGGTGGATTATCTTTGCACCATCAGCTTTTTAATTTACAACCACCAGGCATTGGAATATGTTTCGAGCTGAGCGTAAAATATGCTGGTATTTGTATTTTATAGATCTGCTCTTTTGTTGATTTGTATGTATTTACCTACCCAGGGACTGCAGATGGAAATGAGCTAAAATTATACCATACATAATCTCTTCCCTTTTTGTAATTAATGTATTGTTATGCATGTTCCTTGTTTAATAAAGACATGATAAGATATGCCATACAGACAGAAGAATTAGCTATGGTTCAGTTACCAAAATGTGTTAACCTAGGGGAGCGAATGTAAGAAAATGTATGCTTGTAATTTACCAGTGGCATATCAAATTGTGGACTTAGTCAAAAACCAGCATGCATATACCATCAAACTTAAGTTAAACAATAAGGACTTCTCCATTTGAAATAACCAGCATCATTTTTTCTGTTCGCCATGTGACTAATTCACTTTTTTTTTAACAACTGAAATCTTCAGTTTATTCAATATTGACCCTCACATCTCATTTTGTCATCTCTCTCTGTTATTTCTTTTTTTTCTTCTCACATAGAAAATAACCCTCAGCAATGGTAGCCAAAGCCAACGCTCAATATTCTTTGACGTGCACTTTAAGAATCCAATCAGTGACTTCAACCTTACACTCTCACAACTTAAGAAAGGGAAACGCAAAACACGGTGGAGCCACAAGATTCTGAAAGGTCAGTGGGCATTATTACTTACTGTACATCATATGAATGAAATAATCATTCTTTTACCTTTTCATTTACTACGGTGTTATGCAAAAATGATTATAGTAAATTAAAGAGAGCCCAATCCCATTGTATGTCCAATCATAATAAAAATAATCTTTATTTAATGTGTTGATGAGAACACAATACATAAAAACAAAATATGAAAAATCCATATTTTGTATGTTCTGTATTTCAGTTGAGTTACGAAACTCTGGTGATTCAGATGGTAAGATGCTGCATATTAAAATGTTTGTTTTTACAGTTATTGAAATGATATTTCCATTACATTTATAAGAATCTTAAAGGTCCCATGTCATGCTTTTCCGGTTATTACCTGTCCCCTTGTGTGTTATGAAGGTTTTTATGCATGTAAACGGTCTGCAAAGTCACAAACCCTCAAAGTACACCCTGTAGCGAGTAACACTCAAATACCTGTCTATGCTGCCCCAGAACGTCTCGTTGGAGATTTCTCTTGTTTGTTTGTGTGATGAGTCCATGTCAGGTCCTTAGTGATGTTGAGATGGAGGTTTTCATCCTGGCACCAAGATATCAGGTTTTCGACCTCCTCTCTGTACACCGTCTCGTTGCCGTCGGTGATCAGGCCGATGACAGTCATGGGTCTCTGAGCTTGATGACCAGCTTGGAGGACACGATGGTGTTGAAAGCTGAACTGTTGTCAGTGAACAGCATTCTCACATATGTGTTCCTCTGGTCGAGGTGTGAGAGGGCAGTGTGGATGGTGAGGGCGATGGCGTCTGTAGACCTGTTTGCTCTGTAGGCAAACTGCAGGGGGTCCAGAAAGTCAGGGAGGGAGGAGGTGATGAATGTTTTGATTAACCACTCAAAGCACTTCATGGTGACGGAGGTGAGTGCCACTGGGCGGTAGTCATTGAGGCTGGTGGTTTTAGTCTTTTTGGGGACAGGAACGATGGTAGAGTATTTGAAACATGCAGGGACTACAGACTGCAGCAGGGACCTGTTGAAGATGT